CTTATTTTCTGCTAATCATTTCTCTGTTCGGCATCTGCTAAAATTTCTACAATAGACAGAGACTGCCTTAATCAGTTTTCTCTAATTCACTTTTATTTTTCTTCTTGTAGAAGTCCACTGTATACTTGAAGTACTTGCCCTGTGGCTTGAATGGGTTATGGAGTTGGATAGTTGGCAAGATGTGAGGTTTGGGTCTGCCATATTTACTAGAACGTTCAGAATCTGTAGAGATTCTCCGTCTGTACACTCCAGATCCCACTTTTCTAAAATTATGAAAGACAAAGTCAGAAAAATTAATCAATGCAGAGATTACGATTATCACTGGTTGTCTATAGATAGGTTTTTCAGCCAATAATACGGTAAGGATTTATGAATAATTTCAGAACTTTGGATATATCTAAACTGTTCAAAATCATTACTAGTACAGTGTTAATGCCATAAAAAGAATGCATGCATGATTAAGTGATTGTTTTGGAAAACACATTTTAACAATGAATAAATAACCCTTTTAACAAAAGTAGATTATATAACATATTTAAAAGCTGTCATCACAGATTTATCAATGAAAAAAGTTCAAGGTAGAGCCCTTTTTCCTAATATTTCAAATGACCCATAATAGTAACTGATTGATTGTGTGAAAGTTTGGAGTGGGAGAATTTGGTGATAGTTTGGATATCAATCTCACAGAAGTCCTGTTTACTCACTCCTGAAGTGGCTCTCTTCTGGATGGTGCACTCTTCACTCTGACCTCTGGGCCCCCATAGCCTTGCTTGAACCGGATGGGCCGGGCCTTATGGTGGGGAATCTGGATAGAATCAATAATATCTGTTAAATAGCTTTTTACCTTCACCCCTCTACCACCAGAGCCAAGCTTTTGTTAATCTGGCTCTGTGATGGCAAATCTTAATAAAAAAATTCTAAAATTAAAAAATTCTAATCCATCTTGCATTTCCTTAAGACATCAGTAACTTTAATTAACCAAAACTAATTCAGAAGAAATCAATATGCACAAAGTTTGTTTTTTTTCCTTGCCATAGCACTCACTTTACATTCTATCACCTAAGCCAGTTGCTACGATGTTCAAACTAATTTTCATTTTTAAAAAATTGAAATATATACACAGACCTTTTAATAACTTAACAAAATTACTGACTATAAATGATATTCTAAACTAAATTATCATTTAAAATAATAAAATACAGAAAATCCTGTGTATTATGCTTCTTAGGGACAACTAATCAAAATTTGAAATACAAAATGTTCACATTCTACACATATGTAGGCCTTGTCTGCTACCCAGATATAGGTGACATTTCCAAGGTAATAACTTCAACCTTAACAGCTTTATGCATAATACATTTCATTCCATTACTATGCATGTGCACACTTCAAAGAGTGCCCGTAACCCTATTGATTTCTATAATGTACAGCAGCTGGTCCCTCTGATAACACCAAACAAACAGGGATCTAAAGCAAATCAATTCATCGAACTCAATCAAAGAAAATTTCATCCTCGATGAATTTGAAATAAATTTCCATAAAACATTCCCATTGTTCATAATTTATTCATAGCAATAACACGACTGCCATAAAACCTTTAGTCATTCGCTTGTATGTTTTGAAGCATAACATATCAAATATCAAGGTGGTCTTTCACTCTGATTCGATAGATTCTAATGTTTGCCTTGGCTTCTTGTTTACTTTTTCATTATTTTCCAATAAAAGATGAAAAACATGAGGTATAAAAGACCACTTGCTCAGGATTAAAGGTTCCAAGGAGATGGCTTCTTGAGGAGTCTTAAACTAGTTTAGCTGCCCATCTGTCACAAAGTAAGGAGTTTTGAAAGGTTTTGAGAAAAATAGAAATTCAACCTATAAACGTTCACTTTCATCTTTCTTTTTTTCCTTCTCACCCCAAAATTTAATTTAAAATTTACATCTTGAAAATCTGCCATCTTTCTTTATCAAAGAAACTGTCTACATAAAAGCACAAAACTTATTTAAAAAAGAGATAAAGAGCATAATAGTTAAATTTTGGTATAACTTCAACTACATGGGTTTAGTCAAAGTTCGATTGGTTTTAACCTAGCGTAAAATTCAACATACTATAAAGCTATGCACTGTACAGTCACTTCTGGGCTTCACTAAGTCTTGGTTAGCACACTACTTTAAATCCAGCTGAGTGCAGTTTCATAATAGATTTTATTTATTATTATATTCATTATTTACAATAAATATAAATATTATCATTAACTACTGGTGAAAAGTATCATCTATATATTGTATACCTACATTCACTAACTGTCTCACAGCCTGGTTGTCACAGTCCCAAGTATATACTATATATTGTATACCTACATTTACTAACTGTCTCACAGCCTGGTTGTCACAGTCCCAAGCATCACCTGAAATTAAAGATAAAATAAAGCTAAACAACAGGTATATCATGAAAATACAGAACTTTTGCAGCACTTTAAAAATTGAATAATTCTTATCCAACCCTCTTTTTATTAATAATTGTCTTCACCAAAATCCCCTCTTATTTAAGTAAATGCCTTTATTGAATATATAATAAATAGCTGTAAAACTCACTCATGCTAAGTTTTTCCTTTGGTACTACAGGAAGAGGAGGCAAGTCTATCTGAAATTGAATACAAAATATTTTAAATTTTTTTACATTCTTTAAATCATGAATTTCTGTTTTTAAACTTTTTACATTCAATCATCAAAATGGTATGTGTACATGATTACCTGCAATGGCTAGTTAACTCTGTAAAAATATACTGGAGTATCTGCATTTTAATTGTTTTGGGAATATGAAGGCATTTGTCCTCTTCCCCCTCCAAACTCTCACATTCAAACACAACCCCAATTTATTACGAACACTGAATGCAGTTGCCCCACTTACAATATAACATCTACAAAGCAAGCTAGAATTCCTGAACAGAACTACTTAGCATATGTTTAACTTCTTTTAAATTCTTACAGTAATCCCTCAGTCCCACTCGTCTTAATCCATCTTGAAATAGTACTTCATCTATTTCGGCTTTGAATTCTTTTCATTGTTGGTTTCTCTGCTTAAAACAGCTTATTTTCCCTTCTTTAAATCATGAATTTATGTGACACTGACAGGCTTGCCAGTTATGTCTTCACCAAGTCACAGCTGTGGAGAAGTCAATGAAGTGAATGACAAGTTTGTAGTTGCTATGAATGACTGCTGTTCTCTCCCCAATAAATGATCAAAGAAAAATCTCTCTCTCTCTCTCTCTCTCTCTCTCTCTCTATATATATATATATATATATATATATAAATATATATATATATACCTTCCTCAAGTCTACTCCTCTCCATATCAGCAACTCCCTTAGCACTGCAGCCTTCTGTTCCCCTGGTGTGCCAGCACCTGCCTGAGAGGTGAAGGTCCCACTGGAGGAAGTGGACATTGAAGATGTACTGATCACCGACATGGCATACAGACACCAGAGTCTCTCATTCTGAACCAAATCTTGATTCCATTCTCTCTTATGGGACGCAAGCATTTACTTATATTTTGAAGCCATTTTGCTATATTTTCCAGTCCTAATGATTTCAGCTATAAGGATATACTGTTACTTCTGAAAAATCAAAAAAGTAACATCTTATTGCAATCTAACTATTTATTTTATCTGTACTTTTTACATACATGTACATATACTAAATAGTCTAAGACTCCAAGATTATGATCTATCAAATTTAGACAAATTATGTTTTGACATGATAGAAATTTAATGACTCATATTACAAAAGGTCAAAAAAAGAGACCACATAGCAAAATATACATGTATGAAATACACTTCATTATTACAGTGGAGTGGAAATACACTGTAGTTCTTGCCTTTATAAATATACATATATGTTGCCACTTAATTAACAACTTGTTAAAACATAAAGAGTGCATGTGCTTTCCAAGCTTAGGTGATACAATTCATGTACATGTATATACTCAATATATGTTTATATCTACTGGTACTTAATTCAACTACGTGTATAAGACAAGGCTTATGTATACATAACCAGAAATATTGGTTTGTTCACCCGGGTGTTATACAATGTAGCTTATCGCCCCTCCAAACAGGGTTTGTTCCATGGCAACTACTTTTGATGCAATGTATCGTTTATATAATCAAATGAAATTTCAGCAATTTCCCCTTAATCAACACAGCATATGTTACCCAAAACTGTCAAGAAAATTACGATCTCTTATTGCATTTTTAAGATCTAATTTTTAATATCTGAATTTCCCTTTTTTTTACCATTCGAGTGAAATTCACTATATTCTCCACCTCCATTATAAACTTAAGGCGACTAAAAATTAAAGGTATGACAGCTCTTTATTTTGGTGGGTAAAAGTGCCATAAAATGCATTTTCTTGGGGTAGACAACAATTACCCCATACTTTCTATGGTTATTGAATCAGTTCTGACAAAATGTTGATTTTTTTTAAGTGTGGTTTTTGTAATAATCTCCTAAGATTGTTACAGAGGGTAACCACCCGTAAAGGTCCACTTGGTCCGATGGCAAGCACAGATTGGATTTTATTATTTTCTATGTGTTGTTTACAATGTATTAACTGTGGACTTTGAATCTCATACGAAGAGTTGTTATAAATCTCTTTAACAGTGGAAAAGAAAATATAGAAAATATAATTTTGTCTTTATTTATGGAGATACAAAAAGTATACCCTAGTGATCAAAGAAAAAGTGTTGAAATTTCTGTAAAAGTTAAAAACTTCTTCAATGTCACCAGCATTGAATGAAAAGTTATGTACCTGCACATGTAACAGAAAGGACTCGATATATAGATGAAAACACTGTGCCTGTCACTGCTTATGTGTATGTGTTATTGACTGTTTGGCAAGACTGTTTGTTAACCACTGTTTGTTAAGCTCTCAAGTTACGGACATGGTTACTTCTACTTGGAGACTAGGATAGGGCAGGGGGGGGGGGGGTTATCGACCAAAAGTTCACAATCCCATAAATTAAAGCAATATGCTAGTACTGATATTTTAATGGAGGATGAGCCACTGTTATCAGCACCATTTAAAATATAATTCATATGAAAATAAAAAAATTCAAAATGGTAATTAATGTACTAGTACATATGCCTTGACAAAGTTCACAAAATAATTATTTGAAGACGAAAACAAAATATGAAAAGTATATGATGCTCAAAAGGTATAATTCTAAGGGCAAATTATTTTCACAGTGTGGAACTGGCTACACACTTTAACAGTATAAATAATAATTTTTACTACCGCACATTTGAAGGATGTAACACTTTCTCTCGATGTACCCAAGTATTTTACTACCTGGGTTTTTTTTTTTTTTTTTTTTTAGATTTATCTAACAGTCCATTACTAAAATACTTTATATAATAACAAGTTAAAAATTCCTGTTTTTCATTCTTGTTAATCATAATGTACCTATGTAGTATCTAAATTAATTGCTAGATTTGGCTATTTTGGCAAATTAAGACACGTACATGGTACCTGCTGGTAATTTTAAAAGACATACTGTGAACAAGAGCAGATTAATGTCAACTTTATCAAAACACTTGAACTACTTGGTAGCAGGTACATGTAATACCAAATATACATGTACCAACTTCTGTTACACGTTTTTTTCCTTTTACTTTTTTAAGTACATGTATCATGCATCCAAATGAAAAAAAGTTACCAGCTTAATTTTAATCATTTTGATAAAGTACGAGTAAACGTAATACAGCCCCAACACATTATTGAAGTTTAGTATTAGTGGAGAGGAGTTCTTATTTACCATGTATGATCTGTTAGTATCAACATTACATGCGTTTGAAAGCTAGTTACGGGCAATGCATGTACATGTTATTACTGGTACATGTACACTCCAATTCAGAATTAGTCCCTAACTTTAAACTTTCAAAAATATCTTCACATTATATACAACAGATAATAGAATAACACAGTTAACAGACTTGCCTGTAGTAAAAAATTTCCCCGGCCCTTGAGAGTCTTCGTTCGGCAATGAACCAGTACACTACACCTGAGCACACTCTTTGTGTACCTTAGTTATAGAGCCGTGATTATATTCCACTTTTCTTCCCTTGTGACCCCGAGCTTGACCCGGAAGTGGCTCTGCACGACAACCCACGACGACGTCACAACATGGCTGCGCCCTGTGGCAAACACGCTCTGGCAGACTTTTAATTTCAAATGTGTGTTTATTTTACTTATTTGGACAAGACATTGGTATAGTACTCATTTTAGTGTCGGATTTCTGTACTCAATTTAAGAGAGGGGTCTTATGTTAAGTAACCGTGAAAGCTGCAATTACGCTTGTACTTCTAAGGCTGTATTCCCAGAGCTTTTAGATCGATCTATCCCCGCGGGGAGTCTCACTAGATTACTGTCAGATAATCCGGCTTAAATGTCCGTCCCGCCTACTACAAGCTGTAAGGGGGTAATTAACTTTGGTGTCCGCTCGGATGACAGCTATTTAGCGTGAACCCCCAGGGAGTTAGGTCGATCTAAAGTAGATCGATCTAATCTCTGGAAATGGGGTCTAAAACACCCATTTCTGTGTGTGTGCGTGTGTGTGTGCATGTGCCCATTTATACACACAAGTCAGTATGTTTTCTCAATTCAGTAATGTGATGATTTTAGTCTTGCCAGCACTTAACTGTAGCTATTTTGGTTTTTGCTGCAAAAGTAAATGGTATTGAAAAGGCAGTGGATAAAAGGCAAAAATAAGTTATTAAATAGCAAAGGCAAAAAAAAAAAAAAAAAAAAAGAGCTGTAGTTAAGTGCTGACAAAAAAAGAAAATCCTTTGCATTTCCTATTAATGTGTTATCAAAGTGCCTAATTTTAGGTTAGGATCCACCATGTGTTGGATCCTATATGTACAACTGTATGTAGTTGTAGATTATTGTGTGGCTATTTATCAGTTGCAGTAGGTCAGATGATTTCAAGGTGATGGACTGGATGTTAATTTTAGTGCTTCCATATATAAGTAATTAAATGATAACCCAAGATTATCTCTTTCTATTTAGCTTTTCATCATGACCACAATGCCAAAAAAGAGAAAGCATTCTGAACAACCAGATGCAATTAATACCAAAAGACAAAAGATCCGTAACAAAGGAAACAGTACCACTGAAATAAAATCAAAATTGAAAAATGCTCATAAGACTAAAAAGTTGACTCCAACTTTCACAGAAGTGAAAGAACAGAAGACTAGCCTGCAGTTTGAAAATAAAGGGCAAAACAGTTCTTTTAACAGCAAATCACATATAGATCACATGAATGTAAAAAAGAAAAATTACAAGAAGACCTTTAAAACAAATGTAAAAAAACAGCAGTCTTGTGATAAAGCCACATCTGATTCAAGAGGCAGTTTATTAACAAGTGATTCAGTGAAGCAGAATACAGGCATAGGAAATGAAAATGTGCAGAGGAAGGTTCAGGCAGGGACTAATGTACATTTGAAAAGAAAACTAAAACACCGAAGGATGAAATGGAAGAAAAAAAGAAGGGAAACAGAAGAGGTTAAAGAGACAAAATTAATTCAGCCAGTCAGCAGAATTCCCAAAAAGGCACACCAGGCATCTGCAAATTGGAAACAGTTAGTAGCAGTAAGCATCAAATTCAACATTCAGTCTGGGAATATTATTTAACTCTGAACTATCACTAACCTGATGTAAAATGTCATCTGCATTTTTTTCAGATGTTAATTTTTGACATTGACATAAGGTAATGATTAACACATAATGTTTGTTTTTTCCTAGAAACTAGAAGTTGAAAAGAAGAATGATCCAAACAGAAAAAAGAAAAATAAATTTGGAAAAAGACACACAAAGGGAGACAGAGAAATGAGACAAGAAGGACAGGAACAGTCCAGCAATAAGTATGATTTAGTACAATTGTATAGACGTTTTTTAAACTCACAAATGTGGTTACTTACAGAGTGAATTATATTGGAAAATTTTCTCTTTGGATAACGATTCATGAAATTTCAGATTTAAAGAATTAAAGGGCTTTTCTGTTTGTACTTTTTTCTGATATTTCCAAAATGCCTTCAGTTTCAACTATCCAGCAGTTTTTCTACAAATTATTCTTCAACAGAGAAAGAGTTAACCATTGCTATTGTGTATAACAATTATGAGATGATATTGTTTTAGGGAACCAGACATATGGTTTGATGATGTGGATGAAATCTTCCTGGAGGCAAACAGGGGAAAAGTAAGCAGCAGCAGTAAAATTGATCCTCTTGTAAAGCCAGAGTCGTACCAAGGGTCAGTATATCTTACAACTTAACCTTGTGTAATGAAAATGATGATTTCATTTGAAGTTTTGAAAAAAAGTAATAACCATATAATTTATGACATAGATATATTACTCTTATCCTTGGGCTCATGCTTAATATCTTACCAGTAGCTAAATTTACAGGTTTCTATCAATATACATGAATAATATATAATTTTGCCAATTTATGGTTAATGTGTGCAAGTAATTTGGCATTTGTTTTTGAAGCCTGTACATGAAAGGATGTAAAGAATTAAATATCTCAGCTTTCATAAAATTAACCTGCCCATTTTC